CCAGCATGATTGATCATATTTTACATTACTATTCAAAGTGTAAACGAGACCTCTTCACTACCTTTCAAATCAAAGAGTGAAAGTGAGTTGAACCACAAAATGGTTCCAAGTAAAATAGTTTGGGTTAGAAACTCTAAGATGACTCTGAAGAGTGTTTGTGTTATTTTTTTTCTTGCATTCCCCAGATTCTGCAATGTATTCCTCATTTGGCATTTCTTGAACTTTTGTGTTACCTCTAGCCTGCCTTTCAAACATCGGTTATCATGTTACTCTGTGAATTCAAGTAGAGGTTTAAGTATTTGTAATGTAATAACAGGAATGATATGATATTGTTTTATAATATAAGCATATGTATAATATAATAATAATAAAATTATAAGACAATAAACTTGAAAAATAAATATAAAATAAAGCCTTTCTTTCAATTTAGGAAGGGGGGAAAATTTGGTGTAGGAGAAATCATCTATTTAGTACCGAGCAATGTTTCCTGGATGGTCACGTTGAACTACTTTACAGCATGGTGCCACACAGTACCAAATATTAAATTAGTGTGAATTAAGTGGTTTGGTACCACAGTGCCAAATTTTAAATTAATGTGAATCTTTTATTTCCTTTTTTTTTTTTTTTTCTGAAGGCCTTGGTCATACAAACACAACTACAGTATGGGCCTATAGTGCTACACTGAACCTTTCTGCTGGTTCCTAGAGATCAGTAAGGAAGGAAAAAGAAATGTTTTCACTTAACAGAAGAGAACCGTTTTACTCACTTTTCAGTATAAGCCTGCCTATTGTGTTTGTGAAACACACTTGAAAAGGCATAAACTGAAATTACAGTCTTATCATCAAAACAGACTGATTCATGGTTTATGTGCAGCTAATTGCCTACTACTTAACCCACTTCTAGCTGCATCCCCATATGCAGCCTGTTTCAGTCTTTAAATGCTTTTGAGTTATTTGAGGAATATTAATTTGTTCCTCAACCCAGAAGGGTGCCCAATTGTTCGGTCAGCTGTTAAAAAAGGGAAAATAGTCATTTGCACCAGGCAGCTTTCTTTCTTCCATTTGATCAGATTACAAATGATTAATCAAAACTAAAGACTTTTCAGGCACAGGCAGTTCTCCATATTTGAGGAGTCCACATTATTTAACTCAGTGTATGCATTTTGTGAAGTGTCATTTGCTATTATTATGCATTATTTATGCAGCAGTAGCCCCTGAATCAATTAACTCAAACACTGCTGTAGCTTGTACCATCAGAACTTGTAGTCTGAGCAGAAACACATGAACCCTATATTATTTAGGTAAGGAAAGTTTATTACTTTTACATTTATGAAGTCTTGGTTCTCCTGTGCACTGTAATCAGAGGTGTCTTTTACTATCAGGACCAGGAGGTGAACTTGTAACCACTTCCAAAGGACTCCAGACTCTTGCAGCCTGAACGTAAAATTCTTAAAGAGCTGCAGAAGCTGTAATGTATTGTGACTTTCATTCTGTTATGTTACAATGTATTTTAAAGCAATTCAGGACAGTTTAGTGCTAGAAATCAGCGTATTGCTCTTAAAGCCAAATGAATGCCAAATGAGCTTCATTTGTTAGCAGAGCTTTCTAAGGACTTGGTCCTTCTCTGATTCCTGCAGGGGAAGACCCTCAATGTGCTGCACGATTTTGTAACACTTCAGCTGACTGTTTCAAATATGGGTTCTGTGTTGCTTAGACTGTTTGAACCTCTTAACTCCTGAGTAAAAAATGAATGAAGCAAACTAATATGCCAGGTTGTACTTAATTGCTCATCAGCACCAACTTAGAAGAATCATGTTGCCAATATTTGTAGTTCCTCTGAATGGGCAACAAAGACATCTAGAGAACAAGCCCATCACAGGTGGTGATTTGGTTATTCTCTGAAGCTGTTTGCTCATAAAAGCAAACAGGTTGTGATTGTCCTTGTGGGGGAATAATGCTCCTATGTTTCAGGAATTCTCTTTCCCTTTGGTGTCTGTTTCCCTCCAGCTTGATAGTGGCACCTGATTATGTCTCTCTTGGTGAGTTAAGGGTTCAAACACCTCTGAAGAATTTGATCTGAAGAAGTCTTTGCTTGCCTTCATCCTTCTACTCAAAGTTTGTGTGAGCAACATTAGCATTTGTTCTTAATGAATCTATAGCTGCCCTGGAGCGAGCAAGGAGGCATGCTGAGTGGAAAGCCTGGCATCAGCACTCAAACTGAGCACTGAGTCTGGCTTTGTACACCATGACCCTTCGAAGAGCAATTGAATTGCAGTTTGAAAGTCCACGGTCCCTCAGGGATTCTGACCCATGTGGTGTGAAAATGAAAGATGACTTTTCTAAGTACAGGTTCATTCTCAAAGGAGCACGAGGGTCAGCTTCACAGTGCTGTATGCAGCTACTTCAGTAAATCACAGTGGTTTCCAAGGGCCTCCAGCTGTGTTACAGCTCTTCTGTTGCTACTCCTGGAATATTACTGGAGAGAAAGGAAGCATCTTACACAAGGGATGTGATACTATAAATGTCATTGCTCTGAAATTGCCTACGTGAAAGCACTTTTTTTGGGTAGAGAACTTTGGTTCTACATCGGTAACCAAAATTTCTCTCTCTTTCTATGTTGGCTTGGCCTGATGTAGTAGCAAGGAACAATGTGGGAAATAACTTTTCTTTTTTTTTTTTTTTGCTAAAATGCATGATTTTTGTTGTTCCATATCTGAAAAGTAAGAAGTGAAAATAGTTGCAAGACGATTTAGAAGGCTAATTCACCAAGATGTTTCTGTTTGCTTGTTTCACTGAGCCCTACCAATAGTGCCTTAGACCTAAAACTTTTGTGCTTTAGTAAACAGAAGTTGCAAAAAAAGTGACATAAGGAAAAAAAAGAACAGGCAATTTTTTTTTTAAAGACACTAGATGCACATTAACACAAGAGATGGATAGATGGAAGCTATTGATAGTGTACAATCCAATATTCTAGCTTTAAATGTCCAGAGAAGGGCGACGAAGCTGGTGAGGGGCCTGGAGAACAAGTCCTACGAGGAGCGGCTGAAGGAGCTGGGCTTGTTCAGCCTGGAGAAGAGGAGGCTCAGGGGCAACCTTATCACTCTCTACAGATACCTTAAAGGAGGCTGTAGTGAGGTGGGGGTTGGCCTGTTCTCCCAAGTGCCTGGTGACAGGACGAGGGGGAATGGCCTAAAGTTGTGTCAGGGGAGTTTTAGGTTAGATGTTAGGAAGAACTTCTTTACTGAAAGGGTTGTTAGGCACTGGAACAGGCTGCCCAGGGAGGTGGTGGAGTCACCATCCCTGGAAGTCTTCAAAAGACGTTTAGATGTAGAGCTTAGGGATATGATTTAGTGGGGACTGTTAGTGTTAGGTTAGAGGTTGGACTCGATGATCTTGAGGTCTCTTCCAACCAAGAAATTCTGTGATTCTGTGTGATTCTGTAAATTCATTTTGAATCCTGCCTCTTTAATCTCTGCAAAATTTCTGATGGTGACCTCTACTTCTTGCATAATTACTGCTAATGAAAATCTTACAGTGACCCACTGAATTGAAAAGCTATTTAAATACTTTTCATCCAGCCCCAAGTTTGAATTCCCCATTATCTTTGGTGTGCTTTTTCTTATAGTGACAAGCTATGAGTGTTAACAAACTGGCTGCACTGGAGAATCATTAAGGTATTGATTACAGGTGGAGGCTGGGTGAAAAAATTCATCCTAAATGCCACCCATGCTCCCTTCATTTGTTATATTAGTATGCTTGCAAAGGCAAGAATTTTTGGAAAAGGGGAAGAAAAGTGGAATTGGTGTTTTACCCTCTTTCTCCTCTTTGCACAATTAATGTAGCCTTTTTGTGCTTCATGTGATTCAGTCTTACTTGGGCAAGGGCTACATCTGGGAGAGAAAAGAAAATAAGATGTATAGGCAACTTTTTGGTCAAGCTGCCTTGGTTTGAATGATTTTGTGCAGGCCTAAATCAGTGGGAGATACTGCCCAAAATGTTTTCTTTAGCTATTACTGCCTGGAATTGAAGCAAACTTTTGCGGAGAATTAAGGCATGAGTGAGTCTTGGGTCTGTATCCAAAAGCTTTAGCTGGTTTTGTTTTTATTAAAAGAGTGTCCAGACATTATTTCCTGGCTCCAAACCTGACTGAAGAAGTGGTCTGGTGGTTAAGGCACTTGTGTGTGGCCTTTGAGAGCCTGATCTGCTACCCCACAGATCTCCTGTGTAACCTTTGGTGTTGCTGCTGTCTCTGGGTACCTCAGTTTTCCATTTACTTTAAAGTTGCCCTTCCCTGCTTCTGGGAATACTATAAAGACAAATGTTAGAAAATTCTGTAGTGTCTGAGCCTTTCTGAATGGGGCTATTAGAGAGCTGGTTAGTTGGAAGAGGCTGTTGTGACACAATAGGTGGCAGGCCCTGGGAGGGCTATGGATACAGACGAAAGAGCATATTGATCCAAATGAGGGGAATAGTGCTTATTGGGGTAGGCTGAGGCATGCAGTCCGGGTTTGATGGCAGCAGCGGCCCTCTGTGTGTGGCAGGATGAGGGGGCATCTCGGGCCATGTCGACTACACAGCAAACCCCTTGGCTAAGTTCAGTTTTGTCTGGCCTTTTAGAAGAATCAGCCCCCACTAACCCTGGCTGGCCACCGACCTCATGCTCTCATCAGAGTGGAGTCTGCCCTCACTTCATGAGTTTCACTGCTTCATGAGTTTCTGCCTCAGCTTCATGAGTTTCACTGTATGGACTGCAATCTGTTTTTCACCTGAGAATCTCAATTTTTATTGGAAAAGAAATACATTTTTGGCCTCTGTGGCTTTTGAAAAATGTAAAATATGTAAACTTTCCATACTATGAAAGCGGGTGGGCAAATAAAAAGAGCCTAGCATGTATTATTTTTAATTCTGCTTTTAAGCATACCTCAGAATTTTTGAGACTTGACTTTTAATTTCTCTCTCTCTTTCTTTTTTTTTTTTTTTTTTTTTTTTTTTAACATTTAGAAGTGATAGTGACACAACTTTCCACAGCACTGTGGAAAAACAAGTGAAGAGGCCAAATCCTGCCCTCTGCATGTGTATGTGTATCTGGAGTCATGTCATGGAAAAGGAGATTACTTCTGGTAAACAGAAGGTGTGTGTCTGGCCTCTGGATTTGGAGAGAGTTTCTAATCTCAAATTTCCTTTATGTCAGCTCATGTAACCATAATTACCAGACACTGATCCCTCTTATCCCAGTCTTCTGGTTGACATCTGCACAGGATTCTGAAATCCCAAACATATTCATGTGAACCTGTGCAAGTTCTCTGGTTGTGGGAATTTTCTTTTAATTTGGGGGATTTATATATATATATATATATATATGTTTTTTCTGATCAGGTGCACAGAAGAAGCCTGGTTCCCACAACTGAGAGGAAGCAGTTTCTTCATGTTCATTCTCCTGGGCAGTAATTACAATTTGTCAGGAATGCAGTTTATTTTGTAATTCAACATTTCCCCATAGCACAATTGTGTAACACCTATACAAATATTTGTTCCTGTTAAACTCTTGGAAAAAAATAAAACATAGTGGAGGTCAAAACAGTTGCAGCCTAAGGTACTTATAGGAACATAACCTTTTCTTCCCCTGTCCTTGAATCTAGTCCAACTTTCATTAAAATTGTCACTATGATTCTTGTTGACTTGTAGGAATAATTCTAGACCCTAAATATTTGTAGTTCCTGGCGGTTGCTATATTGACAGCCCTAATCTCTTTATATATTCAGGTGGCATAGGAGAGGTAAAGCAGGACTGTCATCATTGCTTAAGTACAAATCTTATGGGACAACAGCTGGGCATCAAATGGACTTCAGTTCCTGTGCTTCTGCAATCACTGTTTTTTCTGATTACAGTGCTGTTAAAGGAACCAAAGTTGTTTTTGTTTTTGTTTTCTGATTAATTTTGTAGAGAAGCCACTTCTTGTAGTGTTAGGCTAGGAAAATTATCACCATCTTGTATATACTCTCGAACAACCATAAGGTAAGAAGAGGTTAACCTGATAAATCCAGCAGCAGTGGTTATTTCTTTCTGGGTCTCGATGAAGTCTTTAAGAGTAAGCATTCAGACCAGAACAAAAGATGTGCAATATGTTACTTGCAATCCATACCCGTTAGGCCAAACAGATGAGGGGTCTTGGAGTAGCTTCTTTCTCTTTAAATTTATAAGAGGATGATGACCTTTGACAAGAAATGTGGCAGTTTTGGCTCAGAAGTGCTATTATTCGTTTTCAGGACCTTCTGAAAAGTAATGAGGACAAAGTGTCCCAGGGAAAAAACAATGTTGTTTGTTTTTTAAGGAAAGCACAGATAGGATTTCATGTGATCATTGGACAGTTGTAGTATTATGAAAAACAACAACAACAAAAAAGTTAGAAAATGGGAATGTAGAGCAAGCAGCTGTAACTTTTTCCCCACTTTCTCTTTAATTTCATTTGGAGGGAAAAGAAGACCAGGGTAAGAAACGATGTAGGAAATATCATTATTGAATATTCATAGCCTGCTGGTGAAAAATGAGGTGGCTATTAAAATATATGCTGTTCTCATATGGAAATTAGGTGATCATATGTCTATCCCCATCAGGAAGCAATGCAGTTGAAATGACTGTCAAACTATTTACACAGTGATGGCTCTTATTTAAGCTGCCACCACTACAGTACTCTCTGCATTATCACAGTCTTCTGCCTGCCACATGGTACCTAAACAAAACAGGTGGAAATGCAGACTAAAAAAAAAAAAAAAGTTCAAGAAGACTGTGAGATTTGGGTCTGTGTTTTGGATGGACTGTATGAAATATTTTAAATGTCATATTTTTGTAAGTGATATTTCAATGTAATTTATCTAGAAGAACAAATTGTGGCTTTATTTTTTGCAGCACCTACTTGTTTGCACAAAGCTTTTATTTTTTAAGAGTGGCTCCTCCTTTTTTTCCCCATGTAGAATGGGAAGTTGCTTTAGCTTTTCAGATTAAGTGATAAAAATGTTTTGTCTTCTTGTGGTCCACACATTCTGTAGTGTCTTCTGAGAGCCTGTAGCAATCTGATTGATGTGCATAGCTTTAATGCTTTAGGGAACACAGTACTGTCTTAACATTTTTGTTTATTTGTTGTTTCATTTTATTTTGTTTTTAAGGAACTGATGCTTTTTGCAAGCATAACATCTTTTCATGTCAAACAGAATTCCTGCAGATATTTGAGATTTTATGTGATCCAAATCAGCATCAATCCAAAATAGAAGACACATCCAATGGTGGAGCAGCCAATGTTCTTGATATTAGAAGAAAGTAGAAAATTTTCAAGGAACTGAGAGCCAGAAAGCTAAACCTGGGAAGAATGCTCCAGAGAAGCTTTGCCAGGTGGGAGGCACCAGCAGTGCTCTGAAGCAACCACCTACTTCTTCAAGGATGGGGATGAACCAGTGAACCAAGTCAGTGCTCCCCATTAGATTGCTCCATCGTCTCACTGGTTATGTGGATTACTGCAAGGCTGCAACCACTGTAACACTGCTGCTGTGGTATGATATAGTCTGCATGCCTGGGCCACACCTAAATTCATCCAGTTGATTTCCTTATCAAAGTTTGCCCTTTTAGTTCCAAGCAAAATAAAATAGAGATTCACTTTAGCTTTGTAATTTAACAACAGGGCTTGAACCTTATCTTTTTTTGTCAAAAATACTTCTAAAGGTAATGACATTTCAGTTGTTCTTCTGAAGCACTTTGCGTCCATAAGAGCCAGCTGAAACTATGATATTCAGTGCTTGTGCATGTACGTGTGTATGCACAGAGCTTACAGTAACAATAAGAAATTAGATATAGTGAGTTAGGTTTTAGTTACCCTTGAATGGAGAATTGGAGATAAAAACAATAGCAAAGCTGCCATTCTCAAGTGTTTGCTTTTGTTCAAAAGCTAGGAAATCAACCCGGAGTCAAAAGTTTAAATAAAAAAGAGATTCTATCTATTTGGATTCCAGCTTTAAAATATGGAACTGTACATTTCCAAGTTTTTTCCAGCAACATTGAGAGTGGTATGTCAAATACATTTTTTTTTTTTTTAATAATTGTATTTCTGTGAAAGGAATTTCTTCTAGGATATCTGATGTACCCTACCCAGGTCCTTGGTGGCAAATCCCTTGTCTTTTTTCTACATTGCACCTCTGGGTCATCGACAAACTTGTTTCTATATTAAAAAAAAAAAAAATGACTGGAATTTGGAGTTATGTTCATTATAGGTTATTTCTCGCTTACTGTGAAGTTAGAATTTGCTTATAGTCAAAAAGTGGAGATGTTTTATCTTCTACTGGAATAGTAAGACTACAGTTTTAAAATAAATAATAAAACTTAACTTGGTTACACTCAGGGAAAAAATATTCGTGATGAAACTATTCATACAGTTTTATCCCATAAACATTGTTTTCTATTTAGCTCAATTATTTAAAGGGCTGCCTAGGGAGGTGGTGGAGACCCCATCCCTGGAGGTATTTGAAATATGTGTGGATGCCACACTAAAGTTTAGTGATGGGACTCAATCAAGTTAGTGGTTGGACTTGACAATCCTGAATGTCTTTTCCAGCCTAAATAGTTCTGTGATTCTGTGATTTAACTACACTTTACGGGGTGTAAATGTTCAACAGAAGTGAAGCTGGGGTGAGGGTGTTCAATAGGATTATTTATTAAGGATGACCTTCACCTGGAGTTGCAGGGCTAAATTTAGTGAGCCTGCAGACAAAGATTGTACTATCTCAGAAACATTCTTTGTCCTTTAGAGGTAAAAAATAGTCAGTCCGTACAATAATTCATAATCTATGATGTTGTAACCTCTGAATAATATTGTCTTATAGTACTCTAGATGATAGTCACAGATGAGCTTCTGAGCTGAAACAGTTACCTGGACATAGCCAGTAATGCCTCAGTTAACTGTATTCTTAAATTAAACTTGACTATGTACAAAATAACAGAAAAATCTTTAAAAAGTTAAATAACTACTACCATCTAATGTTTATATGTTGTTATAGTGGTTAATAATGCTTTCCAATAATGTATGCGCAAGTCTGTCTTTTCAGTAATAACTAGATTGCAAGAATAACGGATGTAGGAACTTTCATAACCCGATGAGTCCATTATGGAATTATATCATTAACTCACGTGCAAAACTAATCATATGAAGAATGTTTATGCTGCAGTTGTTTGAGAAGAACAATGGTGAGTTAAAAGCTTTTTGTCTTTTTTTTTTTTTTATTCCACTGATGCTTTATGCTATATGAACTCATCACTAGAGACATCAAAAATCTTTAAAAATTGAGTTACACAGGTAACATGACCAGGATGTGCCCAGAAATCTAATGTTTGATTTATTTATTTTTAATTAGTGAGTGCTTTGTGTAGTGCAGTGAAACAAACCGTGCTTGTCAGTGTTTCTCCTTTTAATGTAGTTTATGAGAAAAGTCCAGCTTTTGAAGCATTTAAATCAATGTAATTGCCTTTGACATGTCTGCTGCTTTTCATATTTTTCTCTCCAAAATGTATTTCTCTTTTTGCTGTCTGGTTCTTCTTGTATATCTGTTCTCTTTCATCTTCATATTATCTTTTTTAGTCCTTTCAGCTTCCTTTTCTTGTCATCAGTAAGGTTTCAATAGATGTTGTTTGAATCAGAAATGTAACACCACTGCACCATGAAGGTCCAAGCACCATAAGGTTATAGGGATGTCTACGCTATAGTCATAGGACAATAATGCAGATAGCAATGATAGCTTTAAGCTGGGTAGCTTGGTTAACAGTAACCAAGCCACCATACGAATCAACATGAGCTCATGTGGCGTACTAAGAGAAGTCTGCAGAGTAGTTGTATGCTAAGTCCTGCACAGCCTTCCCTGCTGGGAAGTTGTACAGTAATTTTGAGCATTCCTGTTCAAATCAGGTTCCTCAGATTTGGAAGGTCATTGTTGGCTGAAAAAGGTAAATCTTTAACATTGTGCATGCACAAATATTTATACATCTTTAGGTGTGAGTTGTCATTCCACTGTGTCTGGAACCAGGATGGCTGTCCTTCTCTTCCAGTTGAGTTTTTTTGTGCTATAGGAGCTTTTAGTTGTGCTCTGGGTTCACAATTCATGTAAGTATGGAGATTAATTAAGTGAAAAATAGATACCCAAGACACTTCCAATTAATGCCTTAAGTCAGGTATAGACCATGGATCCACAGGTGAAAGATAAATACTTAAATGATTTACTAAATCACACATTCCCTTTCAGCCACTGTTTTAAGGGCATGATTTTTGCCAGTTCCATATACATGCTTCGAGAATTATTCACTTCAGAGCTTCTTGCCTGGTCAATTTTGCAGTATATTTTCCCAAGCACTGTCGTACATGCTCACGTTAAATCTTTCAAATTCCATCACTTTGTAAGATCTGATTAAACCTTTTAGATCTCAAGGTAGACATTTTGCATATATAAAACATTTTCAAATGTAAATCCTTCTGTCTTCTGGGGTTCCCCACATGAAAGTTATTTTCCATAATCTTTTCAGATGCTTCTGTTTTCATTCAGGAAATCTATGATTAATTTAGGGGGAACCTAAGACGATGTGAGTTTCTTTGTACTTGAGTCTTCTACTATAGAGAGGGCATGCTTTTCAGTTTCAAATGTAATTTTTTTTAAAAAAGGCAACTTTCAAGATGTCTCCCCTCCCCTCCTCTCCTTTTCAGAGGGAGTATTTGGAATCTGTTCCAACACTCCTGAAAGTCTAAAAGGACTAAGGATTAGAAGGGAAGACTATATAGCCAAAGACAAGCCAAGGAGGTGATCAGAAATGAAAAAATATTTGTCAGTAAGTGGAAACCCAAATAAAGAACATAGAAAAGAGGATAAAATTTCTGGCAAGCTATATGTGAAACCATAATAAAGCTGAACAAAAAAGATTCTGAGGAGCTAAGGTGCAAAATGTGATAATAAAACTTTTTTTCAAGTACATCAGGAGCAGGAAGCTTGCCAGCAAATTGATGGGGCCAATATATTAATGAAATATAACAAGACCACTTTAGAAGTACAAGTCTGTAGCAGAAAAGATTGCAAATATTAGATGAGTAAAAGTTCATGATGGAGGGGCTCAAAGAAGTTTCCTTGTTGGAGCCACACTTTGTTGGGCCTGCCATGAGGAACTAGATATTCTTTAAGGTCCTTTCTAGCCCAAACCTTTCTATGGTTCTGTTCTATGTAGTCTGATAGTAAAGGAGACGAGAATAAATCAAAGCAATAAAGGGCCACACTGGAAGAGTGCAACTCACACAAAAGCTCTAAGGAATCTCAAAGAGTAGTCAAACTCTTCTTGTATGTCAGCACTTAAGTGATTCTTGTTTTAGAGGTATATTGACATTCTGTATATGATGCTGTTTTTAGAAAAGGCTTCAAGATAACCAGGGAATTAAATATTTGCATATGACTTCCATACTTCCAAACTTGTATAAACTTCCTTTATTAAAGTAAAAACAAAACAATAAAAAGAAATAAACCTAAGCTTATCAAAGAGGAAAAAAAAAAAAAAAAAAAAGAAAAAAAGAAAAAAAGATGAAGTTTGATTCCTATTTCTTTTGTATGGGTAATATGAATAAGGCAAATAGTAAGTGAGACCTGTGAGGCCATTTATTGATGGACTCTTATTGTGATGCTGGATCTATATTCACTTAACATATCAGAACTTCATCTGAAGTTCTATGAAAGTATTCTGAACAGTTGTTTAGATGACATTGAACTTAAATGTTTATCATTCTTTTTAGCATAAAATTGTGTGCAATGGCAGAGTTATATTTCCTGTATGCTTCAAGGCAGTTTACTTGCAAATTGCAGTAAGCTCTCAACATGAAATGTAAGGTCATGAGGGAGGCAAGACTCTTACAGAAGATAAACTAATAAAACAGTTCTCAGTAATTCAGCCAAGTTAAAACGTACACACAGCCATCTATTTCCAAATATCCAAGGATGAAATAAAAATACAGAAACACTAATTTGGTCCTTCGCAGAATAAGCTAGTATTGTGGCTAGATTTTTATAGCAAAACAACTATTTCTATGTAATTATTCTAAATTCAGTTGAAAAGTAATACTGTTTTTTATCATTACTTGACTTTTGACAGGAAACTGCCTTCTGTTCTACCTTGACATCTTACCAGACCCTCAGTCTAAATAAGACTCATGCAGTGCACAGTTGAGATAAAGAGTGGAAAGGAGGAAGTAATACTGCTTAAGAATTGTACAGGGACTGTAAGATGCTTGGTGGTTCCCACTTCCATGTCTGGGAGAAAATCTCCATATGTCCGGGAGAAAATCTGGTGTTCCCACTTCCCTGTAGTATTACTGTGGCTGATGTGAAAGACGGGCCTCAGCTCTGTTCCCCATCCCTTGTACTCAAGGGAAAAATAAGAATAAAGTTTATTGTAAGTGATATTTTTGGTTAAGACATACAAGGGCCACCTGGTCCCTGCCTGATCACCAGCACAAGCCAGAGCAGTCAGTTTATATCCCATTCCCCCTGGTCCCTTTGGAACTCTGGAAAACAACAAAAAAGCATAGAGCTGTGTACTTCTTCTCCTCTTTTCTTCAACCCCTCTTCCATTCCTTGGTGCGAAATCTGCCATCTACATGGGAGTCTGAAGCATAATTGAGGAAAAATACACTTTTTTGCCTATCTTGTGTCTCCTAAAAAGCTTATCATATGACTTAATTTCATGTGGCCCTTCTTGCCTTCTTTTTTATAGCCAGTGACATAAACAGACTGTACATAAACAATCCTATGACCTATAACTAGGTAAGGTCTGTGTTGGCGGGGCTGTGTTCAATAATAGCACAGTCAAAGCTCTGACTACTGTGCAATAAAATTCCTTTTATCTATGCAGTGCAGGGCTCTGGCTTTAGCAACATTTTGAATGTGAAGATGTTGCCCAAGATGCCTGTTGATATAAAGCAGATGTGCTCATTTCATCCCAGCACATGTTGTCTACACAGGGTTTTGATGATGATTTTATGTGGACTTACGACTTTCATTTTGAGTGAGATTTTGCTTTTCATGCCTTGGTTTTGGTGTTGTTTTCAGAAATACGGTAGTTTCTTCTAGTGATATCACTGTGACAGATCTATCTGAATATATAGGAGACCTTCATTAGAAATGGTGAGTTGGCATCCAGCTGTACTTAGCACAATCTGAAGCCATGTAACTGTAAATACTTCTTTAGAGCATGTCCGGGGGGTTCAGGTAAAAGGTTGTTGCTTTTGTAACAACTTGAATACCTGATTTCAGTTTCCTTTATGGTCAGATACAAAACCTTAATCTGGGTGCTCTGCATGCTAGAATTGCATGAAAAGCCTTCAGGAATGACCAGACCACTGAGAGACACTTGGAAATATAACCAGCAAGGATCCCTTGCTTATCCGAGGTTGCATCAGAGTATATTTCTGATGCTTTTTTATGAAACATTTTGGCTCATTTAAGATAAAAACAAAAATAAAGTAGTCTCTGTTCCACATGCTGCAAATACTACTTATCATTTATGCAGACCATAGATATCTAGAGTAGTGGTCTTTGCTCTTATCCTTATTTGCAATTTATTGTTGCTGTGTTTTGTTTTGTTTTCCTGATTTTATGTAATATTTTTTTTAGTGTTAAAACTCCGAGGTAGATTTTTCTTAATTTCCTTTAATTCAGAGATAACACTGCTGGTGGAAGAGAAGATGCAGTTACCCAGACCACTTCAGATGTTCTTCCACAATATCTTCAAGCACTATCTGAAATGCTCACGCGAACCAAACGCCGCCTCCTAACACATCGGGATAGAAACCTTATTTGCCCATAAGTACGGAAACCTTTCACTGTGGGTTTACAGGGCCTCGCAAGTCTGAACATGTCAGGAGGTTTCATCATTGCTGCTGTTATTACTATTATTATTAAAATTGCGCTATAACTCTTCCAGAAGCTAAAAAGCGATCGTTTTCTCCCGAAACCGATCGGGCAGCGCCACTGCGTGGCTCCCAGGCGCACAGCCACCGCCTGCGGCTGCCCCTGCTCGGTTGCAAGGGCTGCAGCCCGGTAGCCCCCGCAGCCTTCCCGTGTCCAGCCTGCTGGAAGCTGAAGAAAGAAACCTTTAAAATGCGCAACGAGACTCTGCAGAGTGTTTGAACCGGGTCTGATAAAACCTGAAAGGGCGCGTCCCCTCTGAACAGCATTGCAACCCTGTCCAGACCCACTCCCCGTTTCTCACCTTTGCCTCACCTTAACATTTACCTCTTGTTTTTGTTTTTTTTTTTTGACTGGGAGTTTGCTGGCTGGGGAGCTGAATATGGCCCGTTAATTTAATTGCAGATAATAATAATTAAGGCAATTAATAATTAAGTAGATGCTGCCAATGCCTTGGTGCATCCCAGGAGCCCCAGCTGCCGTCCTCTGGCCTGGAAGCCCAAACGCTGCCCCACAGAGAGCACAGCTACTCCCCCTCCCAGGCTGCTCCCACCTAGGAGAATAATTTTTAAACACAGCACGGCATTTCCTCCCAAACTGAATTTCATGAAGTTTCCATTCCTCTGTAATCCTTTGGCATTTCTGGATTCCATTTGCAACACAAACCAAGAAGTTTGGAGAAACATCAAAGGTGTTTTTTCAGAGATAGCAATGCATGCAGATGCACTTGCTCTGCAGCAGATCTTGCATAGCCTTTAGAAAGTGAGTTTATTTCTGGAAACCTGATTTATGTAACAGCAAATGGATGGATAGCTGATCCCCAGGGGAAAATGTAAATCAGCACTGACAAGCACCTTGAAAGACCATCAAGTTCCAACCTGATGCTGCCAGGCTGATAACTGTATTAGCAAATATTTTATACAAGCCTGGCATGTGTGCTCCCCGATAACCATGTGGCTTTTAACAGCTTACATAATGTATATGAGCACTTCTCTAAGCTCTGGTGTATCATGCTGTATCAAAGTGTTGGATGGGAAACTGGCAATAGGTCATCCAAAATTATGCGGTTGGACATGAAAGGATTTTGCCCTTATATGGCAAAGGTAGAAACTCTCCGGGTGGTGGTGGTGTGTGTTTTGTTCTTAAACCATCCAATTCTCCACACACATGTGCTCTGCTGACAGCACAGCTGTAATTATCCATGTGAGAAGCACCTGTTTCTGATTGTTTTTAGTGTCTTAATTAAGCATATTTGGCCAATGAGGCAAGGGCAGAGTGGTTGAATGGGCCCATGGCTGCAGCTGATATATACAGGCAGAAGAGATATGTGGCAGGCAGTGTATCTTAATATGGGCCATCACCTTTTGTCATGTTGTAAGCAGAGACTCCCCTTCCTCACGATACAGAGTGCTTTGCACAGGAAATATTTGTGCTGTCTCAGTCCATTAAGTGTTTGTGCTCCTCTTCAGTTGAACTTTAATGCTGACTCCACTCAGGGTGTGTTGCTTGTTTTGGAAATACTTGCGATATCCCTCCAATGTTTATTTTCTACCCCGACATGCTGCTACATTCCTGTAAGCTTTCTCTGGCTACAATGCAGTGCTTGGCCAGGAAACAGAGAATACAAATGAAAAACAGTGCCCTGATCCTAGGGAAATGTAGTGAACCTATAACAGAAATTGTCTGATTGGAAACAAGGCTAAGATTTCCAGGGAAATAACAAACAAACAGCTGGTCAGCACCCCTGTAAGATCATCAACTTCAAATGTGTATTTCCTGGGCAGATCAAAATGTTTTGTTTAGTTCTCCTCCTCTGCCCTCAGCAGGTAGTAGAAGCAGAGGGCAGGTCCAGTGATAATGTACCAAAGCAGATAATGAGATGGTTAATAACTGTGGAAAGAATTTGTAGCAACAATTTGTATGGCCAGCTAACTGTCTTCACATTACTTCCAGAAATGGATCCAGGCTGCCAGCTTTCTCCCACCTATTGTTGAAGACCAGCACTTAAACCAACAGAACACCTAAAGGCAGACTCATAGGGCTAGCAGGAGGAAAACAATTCTGTGCAGTGCTTTGCAGGAACCTAACGTCAATGGTGACATTGGGGTCACTTTTGCCAGGTTAGCAGAATATTAGAAGCATCAATACAAGACTTGTGTTTTCTGAAGCAAGGGCTTGACCACTCAGCAAAGCAACAGAAGTTTCCAATGTCTGTATCAGAGAACCTGAAAGCAGACCCCAGTGTCCATGAAGTCACAGCACTGTAGAGTCTCTGCATATGAGCTAGATGTGAACACAGCTAAGGCAACTGAAGGTACAGATGCAGACCCAAATTCTTCAGCAGGTGGTTATATCACCACAGAGGGCTAGACAGAGGCCTGGCTGCACTGTCACTACTTGAAACATGCTCAAAATTCAGGATCTCCATAACAGCTAACACCTCTCCCTTCAAACCACATTGCAGTTTGATGTGTTATCTCAGAGCCACCCTGGGACCACACTATATCTTCTGCTAGACTACAGCATGGCCCAGGGGGACAGCAGGGGATCAGGTTATCCACAATAACAGCTTGCCAAGGTATATAATCTGGTACATTAAAACTAAAATATAGTTGGATAGTACCAGCCACTTTGAATCCCAATATGCGATCAACAGTGGAGTCAGGGAAATGTGTGACAGATCAGAAAAGGGAACTTGGGTAGGCATTTCATCATCTAGAGTCATGAGGAGTCCCATATGTGGTACAGGGGGCTGGCCACAGTGGGGGGGGGGAGGGGTGGTTAGGGACCAAGAGGAGACCAGTGCCTTGTTTACACATTTGTGTCCTAGAAATGCAGGGGCTTTGGAGCATAATGACCTTCTCTCCTCTGTGCTTCTCCTGAGAAGAAGGCTTCTCCTTACCTACATCAGGATAATACGCTAAGGGGTGCATAGCAACAAAACAGCTGTGAGGGCCAGATAGTAATAGACCGAGTCCTGCCCACCTGAAGAATGGCCCTGAAGAAGATGCAGTACAGGAACTCTGAAAACACATGGGATAGTGGGGGGACAATGCTTGAGAAATCTCTAGTTCTTAACCAAAAATTCAATTTTTCATTGCCTTCAGAATAGTGTGTGTGTGTGTTGTTATGTTTGATTGACAGGGTGACTGAAAGTCTGGTAGCACAACAAAGTCCAGATTTGTCTATAAATCCCCATTTCAAAAGTTGGTTTCCCAGACTTTTGTAGAAAAAGAACAACCCAGTTGTATGAAAGTGAGCCAGATTCTTTCCTGGTTTATGAAGCAGCGAGGGAATTGATAACTAAATACCAGTGGCAGGCGCTGCAGTGCAGATGGTGCCTGAGCCTGAAAGACGGCGGCATGCCTGTTACACTCCAAGTGAAGCTGCTGAGCTGGCAGCCACCACAGCCATTATTTTATTGCTAAGCTAAGCAGATCAGACATGTAAGTTCACTGGGACCTAAAAATGGTTCATTTGTACTAAGATAAACTTCAGCACGAACATTCACTGACTAGCAGCACGTCTGCAGTTCACCCCTTGTGGATGATGGATGGGAAACCAAATACTCAGGAGGAGGAGACTAACACAGAATAGAGAATTTGTCCTCAGGGTAGTGTTTGGAGAAACTTTTTTTCTATTGTAAAGAGAAAATAGAAGGGGGGGCAGGACTGGTTTCTGCCTTGTAAGGCAAGGTAACAAATCTGGCGTTGTAGTCTAGTGAAAAGTCAACCCTGTGACCAGCAGCACGAGGCTGAAGTCCTTAAGCAGAGATCTGTATTGACAATATGAACATACAGAGTTGCTGTATGTTTGTGAATCAACCCATATGCGTTGCAGTGTCTGTGGAGACCACAGTCAGGCAGTGAGACCAGCTGCGGTGCTACCTGGGCCTTCTCTCTCCATCACGAAGCAACGCAAATGAGCCTGTACCACGTTCCATGCGGGTACCACATCTAGCTTGTATGGAGTGAGCTGGCTTATTGTAATAGATCTTGGCTTCTTGGAGTAAAAATGAATCATCTGTAGGTGGAGAAACTACATGTTCTCTGCTCTCCACACCACACAACAGTTGAGCATCTGACTGTACCTCTAGACATCAGGCCTGTACAGCATTAGTTGAGCTTAAGCCCTGAACAACCCAACACAAACCATCTGCTCCTCCTCTGCTCTCTTTGCACAGCCAGCCAGCTTCTTTTTTCTGCTCCAAGGATTGAGTGAAAGCCAGCAAGCTCTTCTCTGAGGCTCAGGCATAGCCACATCAAGCAACTGGACCTTCAGACTGGTAGAACGAGTGTAGAGATGACTTCTGCCTGCATTGCAGGATCCCAAACATTCTCACTGGGGCTGTGGTGTATAAAGGTAGCTGCAAAAAGGTATCAGTGCCATTGCAACTTCCTTTGTTACTAGGAAATTCAAGTCTGGATAGGAAGTTACTAGCAGGAGTTTAAACTTGCATTGCCACATAAGCCAGAAAGGGTTTATGTTAAGCACTAATGACTTAAAAACACATTAAGCTATGGATTTATATAGTAACATTTTCAACAGACATGGGAAACCATTAGATTTCTGGATTGTCTGGGGAATTACTTTCTCACTCTCTGTATATATTGTACTTAACAGAAACAGACTACAGTGGGTACCCCAGCATAGTACTGTCACAAGCATGTGTAATTTTTATTTGTTACAGAATCATTGGACCTGTGGTATTTCTCCTTTGACTGCAAGGACAACACTCTGCAGTTGTACTGAAGTAGATTCTTGTTCTGGTAAGGAACAGCATACAATTTAAAGTTGGGCTCTGGGACACAGCTCAGGTCCCTCTGCCTGTGTAACAGTAAGTTTAGGACAGATTTTCAGGGGCGTGAAAGTGGAGTGGCAGGTGGATGCCTGGTGTCCTTTTGCACCGCCGGAGAGCATTCCTTCATGTATTGTTCTGCCATCTGCCTACACACACACCCTCTGCATGTTCCAAGTTAAACCCAGCATTAGCAGCAGAAAAAAACAGTGCATGTAATGACAAAAAAATAAAAAATGGTTCTGGACAAAATGCTTTGGGGGTCTGTTTAATATTCATTGTGAATATTGCTGAGCAACTGATGTCCCCTTCAAGAGTTTCACTGGTTGGAGTTTTTGGGGGGTGGAGGGTGGATTTTTTAATGTCGAGACCTACAACAGGCTGTAAGACTGCTTAAATCAATTTTGTAATTTGTTAGTGACAGTTTCTTCAGGCTTCTGGTAGTAGCAGGATACTAGAAACACTGGCAAAGCTTGTTCTTAGTTTCTTATGGATGCATTAAACTACATTTTCATCCCTTGAGATCATAGGTCATAGCTCTGCTTCGCCAGCATCAGCTGATGACTTCACCGACACCCAAACCAGAGCAAGGAACTGCTGAACGCACCAGCTGCTAATATCATCAGCAGTGGGGAGCCTGCGACTCCTGCTGTCTTCACCTCTTGTTAAAAGCCCAAAGTCAATTCAGAAGAAATGTTGCTAAAGAGTGTGAACAGGTGAGAGGGTAGCCATTTAAGTTGCTTACTTTAAAACTGTAGTAGAAGATATCACGTCTTCTGAAGGAACAAAATGTGAAATGAACAGTCATATAATTTAAATCAGTGGCTAGGCTTTCAGTTATAAAGAACTTAGCAACACATCTTGCCCCAAATTATTGTGATTACATCATGTGTGTTTGTTAGAAAAACATTCAGCCCACATTTCTAAAGTTTATCGGGTTATTTATTTAAAGTGTTTCTCTTGCAAATAAATTTTGGAAAACAACAGTGCAAGGCTCATCTTGCTTTAAAAAGACTTTCAGTAACTTTGCTCTTCTTACTCAAAACCTTTGTTCTTATCCATCATTTATTTAATGAGACAATCTTTTTTTTTATATGGACCATTCTTGGAACTATTGTTCATTTATCTTTGTCTGAAAAGCTAAGTGCCTACAAAAGCAGCCTTCACTCATGCAGACAGGATGTCAGCATCTCTCTTGACTGCTTGACCTAGACTACCATTTCCCACATGGGGTGGAGCGCCCCAAGGAGGCCGTGTTCTTGGCCCACCCCAGCGTGAGGAAGGACGGTTTGGGGCAGATCCTGATGTCATTCTGGTTCACATCTGTGGAAAATGGCAAATACAGAGTAATCGCTTCACTATGAGGATTTTGTAAGGCTGCCAATGAACTACTTATGTGTCGTCTGGAAGACTCTGAAAGCTTGTATAATCCTTTACCAAGATACAAACTTGAGTTTGTCTATGCAGCTTGCTTAATGCCTCAATTGACCAGTGTTTTAATATAAAGACATGAGTTACAAGGTGATAGGATTTGCCTGTTCCAGGCAAACAGGTTTGTTAAATCTACATGACCTTCTGTTCCAGAAGAAACCCTTTAAACAAAAGGCTGGCTTCTGCCCAGGTTTAAAAGAGAAGATTGCTTTTCAATTGACTGAGTTAGCAGGAGTCTGTGACCAGCTGGTGGCAATGATCACACAGCCTGTGACAGGCTACAAAAGAGAAAGGCTTGCTCAAAGGAAACCTTTTGTTTTCCTTTCTCTCTCTCTCTTTTATTTTTTTTTCTTCTTTTTAATTCCATTATTTATTTAGTTAGTTAGTTTTCTATACAGAATTTTGGTTCAGGAGAATCATACCAGAACTTGATGGAAAGAAAACTTTTCCTGGAAAGGTAAGACACTGCTCAGTGGTAATCAAAACATTTGCTGTTTTATACATGAACTGTTTTTTTCTTCGAGTTTATTTTAAGCAGAGGCAGTTTTATTCTCTGTCCTCTGTACTACCCCAAACTTGCAAAAATTACTAGCATGTGCCTTCTTGCATTCTATTAATGAAGACCTTATCTTTAATAAACTCGTATTTCTGATATCACCCATAAAACCCCTAGTAAATTCCAGAAATGTTGTTCCCCAGTTCTGTGGCCCTCACCACCTCCTCAGTTCGCTTGTGCAGCATGTCAGCAGAGCTGTTAGTGTGAGCTTCCCACCCAGTGCCATGGTGGGCCACTAGCAGAGGAGGTTTGCCCAAGTCAGAGAAGGAGGAAGCTGATTATGGGCCTGTATCTAGAAAAGCAAGATATGTGGCTTTTTGTAACTGCAGAGCCGTGAGGTTTTAAGTTGGTTTTTGTTTTTCTCAGAAGTAGGCGATGAGAGGAAAGAAAAATATGGTTTATTAATGACAAGAAACAAAAGCAATGTTGTGTGTGGAGCTAGCCGTTCAGACTCGAAAAAGCAAAACAAGATTTTATGGACTATTTCAAGGAACCTATTTTGCTCCTGAGAGTATGTGGTCAAGGGACTTGATGTGTAGCAGGTCTGGCATCACAAGTTAGTCTGGCACTTCCAGTGTCTTCAGGTAGTTATCTAACAGTGGATACTCATAAGCAACCTGAAATCCTTGTTTGAGTTCATGTGCAAGAATACTTGTTCAAGTACCAACATTTTTATGGCTGGCCATTGTGGGAGAGACGTACCACTAACTCTTGAGCAAACTGTCGGTGCTTTTACATCACCCTGTATGTAAAGTGAGGTTAAAATGTTTTAAAACGGTGGGGCTTTTTTGTTGTCGTTGTTTTTTATATAGTGTTTGTGTTTGGAGAGAAAGGGAAGTGAAACTCTTTCAGATCAAATGGCTTGTGCTTTTTTTATTGGCGTCTGGGGAGGCAATCAAAAAAATCTAGAGATGGAAAGTGAAAAAGCAACATGGAATGACCTTGTTTTCTTGTTACTTGTTTTTTCTACTTCCCTAACTTCTGGAATGCTACAAATTATTTTTTTTAAGAAAGCAATACAATTAACTAATGAATTACGTACAACTGTGTAGATTTTTAACCACTTGGTTGATTCAATGCAAATGCATGTAAGAAACATGGTTAAGAGCTCTTCTTCTCAGAACCAGCTGATGATTTAGCTGCTTATTCACATATTCCTACTGAAATCTAACTATTCCATATATGAGCAGTGTAACAGCGGGGGTATACTCATTTGTGTACAGGAAGCATTGTTGTCAAAGCATGAACAGTAAACCCTATTCCTGTGAAGTTTTTGTAGATGGTTTGAATGGAAGCTGCTGTAGATGCTTCTTTTGATTTCTTATGATAGCACATAGCACAGCGATAGTGCTTCTGTCTTGTTGGCACTTCTGCACCCATGTGACAGGTAATAAGCTGTCTAAAATGACAGCAGCCAAGATCATTTAGCTCTAAAGTGCTTCTGCAGGACTGTGGTCAGGAAAAGAGTGGGAGAAAATCAGAATCTCAGCGTCTCGGTTCTTCTTTTATTTACTAAGTGATACCTTATTTATCCCTTTGGTATTAGCTTTTACAATTTTTCTGATAACTAATTTTTTAGTACACAACTGTTGTTTTTGGCAGACAAAACGTGAAATGCTCCCACATCTATTTTTTTTTTCAAATCATGCAGTTGCTGAGGCAGCAAAATACTAAGCATGTACATATGACTAATGACACTGGAGGACTAATATCAGTGCGTTGTTGAGTGATAAGCAGGACTGAAATGTCTGAGAAAGCTTGGCCTCTCTTTCTTTGAAGATGACAACCCTAGAGCTAATTTTAAGCAACAGTAGCGAAAGTGTTCATGCCTGGTTTAGCTAGTTATCTTCACCAGGAGACACACAGGCATTAAAGCATGTAAGCTAACTTTAGATCAGGCATATAAGCAGAAATCTGCTCTAGTATAAATAAGAACCAATTTCATGGCTACATCTCATTTTCAGGGAAATCAGGACATGTAGATTTGTAACACTTGGTGTACAGGAGCTGAAGAAGCCCAGAGCAGGTACCAGCTGTTCCCGCTGTACAAACGCTGAACAGCTCTTCCTGAAATGATTATGCCTAAAAGAGAAATTAAACACATTTGATAAAGGAGAGAAGATAGGAATTAATAACTTAAATTGTTTTTTTTTGTTGTTTTTGTTTTTTTTTTTCCACATATGCTTTTAAGCTGAGCTTAATTTCTTCAGGCAATATTAAAAAATTAGTAAATTCAAATATTTTTCTAGAGAACATGGATTCCTCTTTGGATAGCACATTAATTTGAGCTCTTTGATACTGAAGACAATCCCTTAAATCAACCATTTGACCAGTAGAACCAGTCCGGCACAGTGAAAATGAACAAAGATAAACAAATACAACTTAAAATGAGAAGAAAATTGCAAATGCTGCTTTATTTAATTCTTACAATAGGGAGGCACTTTTACATTAAAAAACAAAAACAAAATACAGTGCAGAGGTTTCATTACAACTACAGTATCCTAAAATATTCCTGCATGAAAATAAAAAGAAATGGTGTCTGTGTGGGAAACTTAAATGATTTTTGTTTTCTTTAATTCCAAGTCAATACTAATAATCCCACTTGAAAAATATGTTTTCTTTGTTTTTCTTCTGTTCACACAGATTGATATAACTGTTTGTAGTATTGCTGACACTTTACTCTGTTTCCCCTCAAACTAATTCTGTATGTACTTACACAAGGCAAAGAAGCTTACTGAGGGCTTTGCAAAATTTAGTGGGTGCTGTTGAGATACTGTAAATTAAGTAGTTAAAGGTGTATTTTATGTCAAAATTCCCAATTCAGCTTCACTTTGAACAAGACCTGCTTATTTCAGTAGAGTTACTCTTTGCCTTAGGCTCAAATGATGCATGTGTTTGTGGGGATGGGAAGAGATCATGGAGGGATGCTTTCCTGCAGTTATTTCCCCTCCATACAGTCTGGATAAATGAATGCAGGTATTTTGTTTGTTTGTTTTTCATGCCATCCTAGAAAACTGAAGCAGTTTGGCAATTAGCCCCTGGGTGTCAGCTGTGTGGAACTCCTGCTGATAAGCAGCTAAATAGAAACCCATGCTGAACAGACTTGGAGACCATTCTGAGGCTGGCTGGCGTGGAAGTCAGAGCAAACACTGTATTATATTAAAGGGCACAAATGGGAAGCGAAGTTAGCAATAACCTCACAGCAATAACGTTGAAAGATGGCCTCAGATTCTGTGGTGCTAATGTACTAATGTGAGTACTCAACCATGAAAGAAACCTTGCTAATGTCACTAGGAGTATCTGTGGAGAAAGGCAATCCTCAAAATGACGATCGTCACAATCCATCCTTCTGTACGTACATTTCCACTTGATTGTCTCAAGCAAAGAAAGCAAACCTCAGGTTGAAAATTCTGACAGATAGTGTCTCGCTGGTTGATTGATGGGGGTATACATTCATTGCTTTACAGCAATTCTCCTGCTATTTATTTGTTTGGGGGTTATCAAAAGCACTAGGTGAGCTGCACAGGGAAGCTCCTGGTTGTGTTAAAATGAGATTGGAAGTGGAAGAATGCTCTAAGAATGATAAAGAAATACTAGAAATGCTTAAAATGAACACCTGAGGAGAAAAATACTCTTCTAATCGTCTGTGCTTTTAAACTTGGCTGAGCAGAATATGGCTTTATGTGTGGATGTTACTAGCAAAACTTAGGCTTTCAAGTAGGTCAGAAATACCTGCAAGAGGGTTTGCAAGTAAGTCTCTTCTGAGGGCTCTGTGAATGCGAGGTTAACCTAAGTAAAGGGAATACAATGGAACATTAGAGGGTGCTCCTATTGAGGAGTGAAATTTGTCATAAATGGAATAAAAGTTTGCTGCAAGTTCTCAGCTTTATTTATCAAATTCCAGTTTCTTCTCTTATGATGAAGACCAGAGATTCTTCCCTCATGCAATTTTCTGTTTTCTAAAATTGCCTCAGCTGTATTTTAATCCACTTTGGAAGTAAATTACCTGATCTGATCCAGAACTCTGTTAACGGTCTAAAGCTGGGTTCCTCTGACAGAAGAATTAAAGTCGGTACAATATAACAAGAGCTATTTTCAAAAGTTAAACTACTTAAAAATATTTCCGTTTGGAAGTTGCTTTATCAGCATTGGTACAGTATGTAAACATGTCCACAGAGAGCTTGGGCTCTGGATTCCAGGGCACCTTCTCCTTTACTGAAAGCACGTACTACAAAACCTGTAGAGATTTCTCTTTGTATATTACGTTTGGAAAAGTTTAAAGAGAATGGCTTTGTTTAGATTCAGATAGGCTGCCAAAATTTGCAACTTGTAACTCTGTGCTGATATATGAAAATAAGATGTAAAACTTCTCTCTCCAAACTAAATATATCAAGGGCATATTCTGAACATGGAAGATAATTCTGGCTTTA